TAAGGTAACTTATAAGTTTATAACTTATAAGTTATAAGTTATTAAGTTATGAATTTTATAATTATAAGTTGAATATTTATGTTTTATAATTTGTATATTCAATATTTATATTTATATATTTACTTTATACTATTACTTTAAAATTTAATGTTTATGATTTATTAGTAATTGGTATAATTTTATATTTTTTTAATATGAATTTACAAATTGTAACAAAACGGGGAAAAAAGGCAAATTGGACTTTGGATGTGAATAATGCGTACTTTATATTATTATTACTTGAGTTGAGAAAATTGTACAATGATAACAATGATAAAAATCATACAATGATGGTATTAAACAAAAATTGGAAAATGATAAAATTGATATTTTTAAAATCGTACAATATACAATAATTGTCTATTCTTCTTCTCCTTCTTCTTGCTCGTCTTCGTCTTCGCCTTCGCCTTCAAGGTCATCGGCTAGTTGCATAGATTGGGAACTAGCCGAACCCGAACCGGAAGCGGAGGTTCCTTCTTCGTTGTCGTTGTGGTCGTAAGAACGGTCTTGTGAGCGATTTTCCGCATCCAACCAATCTTTGAAACACACGCACATTTCTAGTGTTTCGGGTTTTAGACTTGTTCTTCTATCGTCTAAAACCCTTCCGGATGCGCTGAAAGCTCGTTCGGAGGCGACGGAGGAAACTTGGATAGCAAGAATGTCTCGTGCCATTGCCGCCAAAGTTGGATGCTTCGAGCTTTGTTGTTTCCACCATGCAAGGAGGTCGAGGCTGTTTATCTCATCGTCGTCCATGCCTTTGGTGAAGTCGTAACTCAGATACATCTGCAACTCCGAGACGTCGCTTTGCGTTCTCCTGATTGATGAATCACCTGAAAACCTTGAAATCAAGTTAGTAGCTTGTGAAAATAAATGTTTGGCCTTCTTACTTACGTTTTTGGATGGTTGGGAAGGCCCTGAGCGAGGAACGGTGCCATATTTGGCTTCATAGACTCTATATAAAGCAAAAAACTGATCCTTCACATTAGTCTTATAGTTTTCTACATCATCGTCAAGAAACATGCATTGAAAGTAAATGTCAACTAACATAAATGTGTTTTCATACTTTTGCCTAGGATCTAATATGGAAGCAAAAATATAAATCAAAGGAATCTCACTATAATATTTACGCCACTTTTTTTCCATTGCTGGAAGATACTGATCATAATCACTTTGATCGCGATGATCAGCGAAAAGTTGGGCGAGTAAGCATGCATTAGAAAGAAAGTTTTGAGCACAAGGATTGTAAACAGTAGAAAAACAATACGTCATGTTATATAATAACTGTAAAAATTGCATATATCTTTCACAGTTATTCCAATCATCATCATACAAAGCATTTTGTGGAAATTTTTGGTTGTAAAATAATGTTAACGGGCCCTTGTACTCAATTGCCTTTGTTAACATGTCATAGGTGGAATTCCACCTAGTTGGGCAATCGGTTCTAATTTTTATTACCCTTATCTTTTGTTGTTTTAGAAAACTCTTCCATTCTTGGTATCTCATGTTAGAGCTATTAATAGACATAATAGCATCTCTGATTTTGCTGTAGTATGGGCCAATTGCCCGAACTGCATCCTGTACACATAAGTTAAGTACATGGCAAACACATCTAGTATGAAGAGCTTCACCGTCTAATAGTACATCGGTTAAGTTTTGTTTGATAAGATTAGCTGTGTATGTCATAGAGGTTGCATTATCAAAAGTCATAGACATCATTTTATCTCGAAGGTTGTATTCGTCTATTGCTTGCATTAAATGGTGAGCAATGTTAATGTCGGTGTGTGGGTATTCCAGCATTTTGAAATGTATTATTCTTTTTTGTAACATCCATTGATCATCTACCCAATGGCAAGTCACACATAAATAGTGATATTTATAACCACTATCCCAAGAATCGGCTGTTAAAGATACTCTACAGTTAAGGTTACTCAATTCGGCTTGTAACCGGACTTTGTACTCTAGGAAATTTTTCATTGCGGCGGAACGAACGGTTTTCCTAGAGATTCTTTTATGTTGGGGTTGTAGTGCTTTGTTAATGTAGGTGTTGAATGCGTCACTTTCCGAGAAAAGAAAAGGTTGTTCGGCGTGTACTATCATTTTTCCTAGTTCATCCCTATCCCTCTCATAGTTGTATGTAAAGCCGTATGGATGGAATTGGGAAATTTTGGGCTGGGTTGGATCACTAGCTGGTTTTGCACAAGCTTTCATGTGTCTAGATAAGTGTCCCGTCCCGTTTTTGGTAACTGCCGTGAATACACTATTACATGTTTTACATTTTGCCCATTGTTCACCATCTTTACTTAGGACAAAATAACGCCATACCTTACTCCTTCGGTTTTTCAAAAGTAGCATCTCAGTTTCGGTTAACCATTCATGATGTGTGTGATGGTTAGTAGGGGGACTAGTGGGAGTGGCAGTAGAAGGGGTAGAACCGGAGGGAATTCGGGTAGTACTTTCTTGGCTACCTTGGCTAGAACAATAGTTTTGTTGATTACCGATATAATTAGGTGGAAATTGGTATGGTGGTAGTGGAAATTGGTTTAGTGGTGGTGCTGGAAATCCCGACGTATTATATGGCTCATAGCCCGGGGGGAAGTAAATGGGGTCATTGGTTTGACTCGTAATTTGGGGGCTCGTTGTATTTGGTGGTTCCCTAAAACTACTACTACGGATAAGTCGGCCTTTCCCCCTAGACCTAGATGATGGGTTGTTCGATGCCATAATTAACAATTAATTTTTTTAATAAAAAGTGGTTAACTATAATAATAATAATTAATAACAACAATTTTAACAATAAAAATATCAATAATAATAATTAATAACAACAACTATAACAATAACAATAACAACAAAAATAAATAATAACAACAATTGTAACAATAATAATAATTAATAACAACAATTATAACAACAACAATAACAATTAACAACAATAATAATTAAACAAGATTATTCTAATAATAACAATAAAACAATAATAAATTTAAGATTAGTTTAGATCTTACAACCGTGCTTCAACGCTCCACTAATTACGATTACGAACTTTTTAATTTTTTCCGATATTAGGAAAATAATTAGAGAATTTAAGAGAATAATTAGAGAATTTAAGAAAATAAGGATTATTAGAGATTTAGAGAATATAAGAGATAAGAAGAAGAGATTGTGATTTTGTGATTTGGGAATGAAATGGAGGTGAGTATTTATAGAATTTTTGGCAAAAAACTAGCCGTTTTATAGCCGTTTATAGCCGTTTTATAGCCGTTGGCCCGCGGGCCGTGCCTGCGGGCCGTGCCCGTGCTCGTGCCGGGCCGTGCCTGGGAATTCTCCACCGTGTCCGTGACACGGAAGTTGAATTTCGTGCCGTGCCGTGCTTGACTTCGGGCCGTGCCGGGCTGCGCCGAACGGCGGGCCGTGCCGGGCGGCACGCGGGCCAACCCGGCCCGTGCCCAGGTTACTACTGAAGACTGAATAGGCGTAGTCGAAAGTAGGAACGCGATAAACACGGGAGTGTATTCGATGAGGGTGAAATGGCGGCAACTGCATTGATTCACGTGAAACTTATTTGACTCACTTCCTACTGCTGGAGTGCTAGTCTCCTACTCTTTCTTCTTTACACTCGGTATCTCACTCAACTACTGTACTTTTATTTTTCTCTTTTCCTCGAAACTCAAAACTTTCTTCCATCGGAACTTGAAACCCTCAGCACTAATTTCAAGATAAATTTATAAAAATACAATTTTTTTTTCGAGGATTGAGATGAAAGAATGACATCCATCTTTTCAATCATAAATATAAATAGATTAAATTAAATTAAATAAAAAGAGTAGTCCGAGTAGTAGAATATCACCTTGAGATTTTTATTCTTTCTTGTAAGAAAATACAACTGCTGTCATTGTGTCTTCAGCAATGCCACTAAAAAAGATTTCATATGGAAATCAGAGATAACAAGATTATTAGAGAACACGGCTTAAGTAAAATGAAAGATTATTAGAGATAACAAAATTATTAAAGAACACGGCTTAAGTAAAATGAAAGATTAAGGCCTTATTTGGTAGAGCGTTTTCAACTTATTGAGATTTGACCAAATAAAAAAAAAAAAAATTAATTTAAGCATTTAGTACGAGTAAAAAAAACTTGTTGAAATACTCTTTCTGAAAAATCTTAAAGAAGAAGCTTTTTAAAATTAGCTTAATGAACATTTATCTTGATTCTACACTTGCTAATTACAATTATTTACCAAATACTTTTATACAATAAGCTAATTAACCATATAATTAATTATCTATTATATTAATCAACTACCAGCTAATTTATCAAACAAAAAAACTCGCAGAAACATGTCATGCGTAAAACAAGAGCAACATTAAAGAGAGAATCTGGAAAATCGAACAACACAACACAGCAGATAACGTAACGGGTACGTGGTGTTGAGTGTTGACCTCCCAACCCCAACGGCCCAACCCCCACCCACCTTTTTTGCGGGCACCTATACGACAAAACCCACACTACACTCTCGCTTCTACTCTTTTTCTATGTTATCTTCTCGCCTTCTGTAATAAAATTCTATTTATGCTTTCAAAATATATTCCTATTAGTGTGGAAATATACATTAAATCTGTGCTCTCACAAGTCACAAAGGTTACTACTGTAGCTTACTACTCACAAACACAAAGTGTGGTATTGGTATAACTTTCACCTTATAATGTTTGACATTTGCATCCGTTATATGTTTCACTTTGACTATTATTTGTACTTTCGCTGTGCTTTCATACTCGATATATTAAGAGATTAAGAGCTTTCTTACTCGATATATATAAGGTGGTAGATAGTAGATACTCCTATATTTCCCCACTAATTTAATTTCGAACTATTTTTATCAACCTTAATCCCTTTTTATACAAGTACTTAACTTTCATAAATTATAAGGATCTAAGAACTCATGCAATCCTGTCTCCGACCAGTACAAAAAGATAATCTTTTTATTAATAGAAGCTATATACACGCTAAAGTGGAAACCCTGTGGATGCTTAGAGAATGTACAGTTCGACCTTGTTACACCGAATCAAACTGAGGAGAACTCAAAGTCCAAATTCATCACAACCACAAACAATACAACACAGGTGCCAATGCTGCTGTTGCATGTAATATAACTGAGCTAAATTGTACATGTACCATGCAAAGACCATTAAGATTCCTTCAGCATATACATACAGATACAGTAGAGTTAATTACAGCAGCTTCAAGTGCTCCTTGAAACATCACATCTTTCCTTGAATAACACCTGATATCAAAGCAAAATCAGAGAGCCCACACTCACAGGCTCACAGTAATCATAATGAAGCCCCGAAACCGATTACAGATTTTCAACCACATCCCTCATCTTCTGTTTCTTTGCAATTATGTCATCTGATCTTCAGATACTAATAACATATCATTCGAAGCAAAAACACATTATTTAAAAACCGTGTTAGAAGTAACCATCATTTTTATTCAATAGCAAGATTAAGTACTTGCTTAAGTAGGATTTGAGAATAAAATTACAACTGGTATCAGAAAGGCCTGCCAACGAATAGAATGGACCTTATTCACAAAACAATTCGACTACCTTTTCATATTTAACTTTTTTTTTTTTTTTTTAATAGAACACATATTCACAATCAGAAGTATCAAGTTAAACTTCTTTGATGACAAATTGATAATGCACAGCAACTGCAGCTTACATAAATATTATGCTTAATGAGATTTCTGTAGTCTGTACAGGGTTAGGCTCATCATTAGTGAACAGCATCATAACCTTCCACTAAGAAGAGAGCAAAGAATAGAATTGGGTCAAACTTGTCACCTTTTCATTGATGTACAAGGCCACAAGGGGAATGCTCGGAATAGAGAAGTAACACCTGTAAGGATGTAAATTGTCCCCAAAGAATCAAATTTGTGATTGTTTTCTCTTCAATTTATGTAAATATTGTAGAAAGGCTTGGCCATTACTCAGCAACACCTGGACCAGAATTTTTGCAAGAAATCAGACACATAGAGATAATGAGCGCAGTGTTCTATGCAATAATATTCTACAGAGAAGCTCCAACAAGAAAACTCATATTTGTGGCCAACATTCAAAACATAAGTATAAGCATCTACAAACAAGATTGAAGAGCACCTCTTGAGACCTTGACCGAGGCTGTGTTTGGTTTGGAGGAAAACCATTTTTCTGGGTTACCAGTGTTCTCATTTTCAATTGTTTGGTCGGTAATTGGTGAAAATACTTTTAATTTCCCTTTTGTATTGCCACAATCTTGTTTCTACCCGTCACCTTACTTCTCTCATCCCTCTCTCTTCCTTTCCACTCTAACCTTTCTATCAAAGAGCCAAACAAAGGAAAATGGAGTTAAAAATTGAGGTTTACTTTCCATTGAAAATGAAATTTTGTTCAAAAAGCTTTTTTTCAAAACAAACATGGCTGTGAGTGCGAAACTAATTAAGATGAGTAACAAGAACAAGAATTAAGGTAGAGTACTCACGTCATCAAAATTGGCGTTCAAAAGGAAAAAAGCCTCCTTTGCTCTTCTGAAGGATTCATCAACCATAGGCAGAAGATATATGCTGCCGCAATAACAGACAGGAGTGAAAGCATAGCTAGAAATCCAAAATGAGAGACATCGTTTGCGATTATTGCTATGCCTAACATCACAAACTCAGCCAAACTGGCAACGGAGACCTCTGTCGTCCCAATAAGATTAGCTTTTGATGATGGGATTCCAGTTTGAAGAATCTGCTGGCCAATTACATCATATGACATGTGTCCTAGCCTTGATAAAACCTGCATATCAAAGCAGAATGGGAGATCAGAGAGAGAAAACATGAAAACTAATTACAGGTGTGTACCAAACAATCTGCAACACTAAATGAAACCTCCATCATCACCAAAAGAAAGAAACATCTTTAAAAAAAGAAACAATATATGCAGAAGACTACCACAATTGAAAATAAAATAGCCTTTGACTAACAATTGTGTCAAATTTATTGACAAGACAAGACTTTCATCAATCAAACCAAGGTAGATTGAGTTGTAAGATATACTTACAATTAGGAACAAGAAGAATAAGATGGGTGTCTGCTGAGAAAGAGTTCCACTCCAGTAAACAGCAACTGCTAGAGCAAGAAGTGATGCCTGGAAAATTAACCCAACAGCCCCAGCCTACAATAACTTTTTTATGAGAACAAATCTCAAAATGATATTAAATAAATGAGAGAAAATTTACAACAGCAGCAACCTTTAAGATACCAAGCTCTTCGATGAGTTTAGCAGATACAAATGTCGCTACAACACCCATTAAAGCACATAATCCACTAAAAGCACCAATTATGGAGGAGTTAAGACCTGTCAAATACTCCAAAGTTATACATTAGACATATACTTTTAATACAAAGATATAAATACTTGTGCACACATGGGCAATGATGCAACGGAAGCAGGTAATCACAAATAAAACAGTTCTACCCCCAAAGAGTAAATGCAAATAACCAGGTCGTCACTTTTTAAAGCTATAGCTATAACTAAGCAACTTGCAAAAGATAGTACTAGTTCCAGTTCAGACACAAAGCCCATTTCTTATTTATTAGCTTAATCAGAGTATATTAATCTTTGAAGATATAAGATAAATAAAGGCAGGGAATGAGAGAGAGAGATCAAAAGTGTTCCAACTATAAATCAAAGGTAAGATAAGTTATGTGTGCACTGTCCAAATATAAATTTCGTGTCTTAACGACTGTGTCTTTGGTCTTTTTGAAATGTTTCTCTTAATTAAGAAGTGTACAAAAAATAATTCTGAAAGTTATAGTCAATAGCATGTCACACTAGACATTTATTAGACTCCACATCAATGCTACACAGAGAAAGTGCCATCATGTTTATATAAGAAGCCAAAGCATACCACGCTGAGTCAAAAATGCAGTCATCAAACCACCAGGGGTGAGAACAATGTTGAAATACAGAAACACATAGGCTACGCTTGCAGGAAGAACAGGCTGCTGTTTATACTCGGACCACCCATGTTTGATAGCATTAATACCTAAACTCACTGTAAAACACAGATAAACACTCAGCTAATGTTAAAAAATAAAAATAAAAATAAATAAAAAATAAAAAAAAATAAAAAACAATTTTTAAAATGTTAAACATAACCAAATACACTTCGAGAGATCAATAAAGTTCACCTATATTCTCATTATCTTCCTGGGTTAATCGAGTATTACGGTCAGAACAGGTCTGCGGACACTTAGCACGGTCAAGAACACCAGTAGAAACCATGTTGGTAAACCAAGTAAGAGCAACCTAAACACAAACACATGCATACAAAGAGAGAACAGAGGTTAATAGATGGTATGGAACAGCTCAACATTATAAAGATTAAAGAGGAACGGATTACTTACTGTAAGGGGCAAACCCCAGATCATAAAACCAGCAGCAAGTTTCAAACAGGTTACAGGGTCATTTTTAGACAGAAGAATACCGAATAGAGAAGCACCCGCAATCTGCAAGTATACAAAATACTGTAAAATCCGCAAAGATGTTTCAGATTTGTAATATGTACTTGTGAGTGAATGATAGCAGAAACATGTAAGTAGGAACAAATCCAGATGAACTTCAGGGTGATCACCCAGCGGCTTAGAAATATACCACAAAGACCAAAGCTTAATACACAAGAAAATAATGTATTACCTCACAGAGAAGATCAATTCGGTTGATAACAGCATTGGCCTGCGCAAGTGCAATAGGTCTATTGGTCCCAGCTAGCTGCAGAAGACAAAATGCCTACTTCAGAGGATTGAATTCCTAGGGAAAAAGAAAGTAACAATATCCAGGATGTTAACAAACAGAATTACCAGTACAAGCCAGTCACGTTCCATGGCAACACCCAAAGCTAATCCACATAGTCGCTCAATTGCACCCGCTATAACAAGAATAACAAACCAAGGGCGAACTAGAATTGATGACACAGAAGCAGACCGAACTTTATGAGCATAAATTATCATTGCCACAGACATCAGCTGGGTAGTTACCTAGCATATACAGTGAATCTTAGAAAGATGAAAAAGAGATGCAGAATGGCATATTAGATACAGAAAGAATTATACCTGGACAATACTTAGACAATTATATGCCTGTACTCTAGGGAAATGATCCATAAGTTTTCCAACTAATGGTCCTCCAAGAATAACTGCAAACTGTTCACAATGATATTCACTTAAGAGTCAGAACCACATCTATCACAAAATAGCATGTTCAAAAATTCAACTAGTTTCAATTCTTTCAAAGGAAAAAGCCACCTTAGTGAAAAAGCTCACGACTGCAACAGGAAGAAGGCTTGGATGGATCAGTGCAATAGCAGCAGGCCAAGCAAAATTCCATAGTTGTTCCACAAAATTCCCTACCAAACAATTGGCATATAAAGCTGAAACAAGCAAATAACAGAAGTTAGCAACTATCATAATAAGAACTGCATTAGGTTATGTTCAAATTCAGTGACCTTTTCTGCAATCATATAATCCTATAGTAATTAGTAAGACAATCACATAATAAGACCCCATAACTAAGGTTGCTCTATACATGAGCACTATTATAAAAAATTGATATTTCTTCTGCATGCAACCGAATATCATTGTAAATGCACATTATAGACCATGTCAATAAAAAAATTCATACTTTAGCAAGTTGAACAGGAGATACAAGAGATCAAAAGATTTGTACCATTATAAATTCAATAATCACAGTATATCATCATCAGAATACTTTAAAGACATAGCACTTATGTGTGCAAATTGCATAAACAGATAAACCAAGAGTTAATACATGTGGGATACCAATTATTCTTAAATAGGAATGTATCTTTTACCATACAAGCCAGCAGGATGAGCAGGGGTAGCAGCAAGGACATTCTGTTCTTCCTCAGATAAAACCTGAGCACATTCATCAGATACTTGACATAAATAAAAGCATGAGCACAGTAGACACTAATTATGTTAATAACTACTGCCTTGCAATAAACTTACTGGCAATGCAGTCAAAACATTATCAACGTAACTTCTATCACTCAATATATTTAACGACTCGGCCTCAAGAATGTCAGAAAAATTAGAAGCAGAGGATGACAAGTCATCTTCAGTATCTTCATCAGAAACAACGTTATCCAGAAGTAGATCAGTATCTATCATTGAACATCTTGCACAAAAATCATCAACCCTGCAACCAGGAAAACATAATTTAAGCGATTCCCTCGTAACTATATTTGGATAAATTAAACGAGGAGGAGGGTGGGGGGGATTGACTGATTGAGTATATTCTGAATCTGCAACTTCTTGTTGGGAATTAGGTATTTAAGGCAGCATGACCAATCAAACAATAAAGTGATGGCAGGAGGGAAAGAAAAAAAAAAAAACCAGTAATATAGTGGAAAAATTAATCCACTTCAACTTATATTATCAGACACAAGTAATACAATCACCCTAGTGAAAAGTACATTATGATATGCAATAAACTCTCCATGGCTTCTAGTAGAGAACTTTCAGACACTCAAATTGATGAGAAGTCTCACCAATCTTTCCACATGCTAGGTAGCTCCTACTAGAGCACTCACACTTCCAAATGGAATTTCACACTATGCACAATCAGTTAATGAGCTTATTAATCCCTACTTAAAGGACCACAACCTTCCTCAACTTAAACCAAATCAATGAAATAGCCAATTACCTAGGATTGTTCAAATTAAATGCAACTTTTAAAGCTATCTACCAACTTCCCTAACTACACTAAACAAACAATCGTAACAAACTTTGAATTAAATCTTCCCAATTACTTTAACAATTTGCTTCGAGACTCAGGACAGAGGATCAATAATTTTGCAAGTCATCCACCATATCTGCTTTCCTGTCCTTGTCACATTCACAAGATCTTAGGTACATAGCTGCTTACTATTGTTCTCATCAACTTCTACATGCCCCTAATGAGATGCTCAATATCATCCTGACCAAAAGCCATAGTCTTTATAGCTTGCTTTCTATTTTTGAATTCACGTAAACTTGCATCTCTCATAGACATAAGCACCACAATTGATCAGGTATACATTCTCAACATTTCAAAAAGGCATATTATGACTTCTCCTAAAATCATTATGCATGGCTTAATCAAGGCTACTTTTTAGCCCATGTGCTCACAAAGTCACAAGGTACAAGCACAAGGGCGCAAAATAGACATAGGCAGTTAGGTTGTACCATGCTCAAAGTACAACTGGTTGTACATAGGAAATTGCCACTTAATCCACATTACCATAACTTCCATTCTTCACTTGAAATCACATTATAATTTATCAAGAATCTCAACCTTCTAAAAAGAATTATTGTCACTTCTCCTAATATAATAATTATACATAGCTTAGTCTACATTACCTTTACCCCTTTTCTTACTCGACCAAAATTCATCCCAATCGAACATCAGTCCATCATAGTATGGTAATTTACACATATCAAAAAACATTTTCATCAGAATTCAGTTCATCATTCAGAATTCCACCCACCCAATTATCACAATACATAAAATAAATTGTAATAGCAATAAATTCAATAAACCAGCTTCATTTCAATAAAACCCCACCAAATTGAAACAATTATTATCCAAAAAAAAAAAGTGCAACAAAAAAAATAGGTTATTTAAGTAAATTCCAGCTTACCTCAGAGGAGGAAGAAGAGGGTAGGAAACATTCAACCATCGACGAGAAGAGAAGCGATTACGTATTCGGGAAGAGGGCGGCAAGCGCGAAAACGAAGAAGAATTCCAACGAGGATGTTGAGGCGTTGAAGAAAATGGCAGCAACTGAGCAACAATAATCCCACCACCCGCCATTGTTGAAGTAGAAGAAGCTTTCCTCTCTCTTTCTTCTTCAAGTGCCCCAACAAGAAATCCTCTCCCCTAAGGTGCTTAACCATGCAGACCCCAGAATTCCAACTTCAATTTACTTCAATTCCCACTAAAATTAGTGAACAAAATTGGGTTTTTTGATTGAGTTAGAGTGAGAAAATGGGAGTTTTTTCTGGGTTTTTGTGGATGATATAGTGGTTAAGTGTTCAAGTATTTCTGCGCCGTTTTTATCTGAGAAAAAATTTGTGGTATTTTGAAGAGAAATTTGGAAAGTGGGAAGATTAAATTGGGAGTGTTTCTTATCTAGAAGATAGGGGACGTATGACAAATCGACGATATTTGGGGGCCACCCGAGTGCCAACTTGTTTAAGTTGCAATACTTGCAACTGCTCCGAGACAAATGGCAATTTCTGAGAAACTATTTATGTAACGCAACTCTAATGGTTATATACGGAGTATAACAAGTTTGAACATATATAACACGACTAAGCACTAAAAGAGAAAAATATAAAAGATTAAACAAAGCACGAGTATAAGTATGTACTCCATGTCACAACTCACCATAATATGTGTAACACAATGCATGAGATACAACACAATCAAAGTCTATGATGGAAAGATATCTAACATAACCAACTACAAATGCAAAGTGTCATCTGATGAATTATTATCAAGTATCTAAACCAAAGATACAACTATATATCTTGAAAAATAGGTTAATAGTAAAGACTATTTTCTTTTTTTAAACAAAAAACAAGATTAGGATAAAAGACCGTTGAAAGTTGATGTACATACGAGTAAGGCTTGTTGAGTTCAACTTATTTTTACTTATTTCAAAAAAAAGATAAGTTCAGATCAGATCAGAGAAAATGAGTTCAGATCATATTATCGTTTTATGTGCAATTTTTTATCGCTAAATATCTTTATTTTCATAATGAAAAAATTATAAAAATTACATATTAATAAAATACATATTATTACGAATCTAACAAGATTCTGCTTGATATATTTTTTTCCTTACAGATTATCGTACACTTAAGGTTAAAGTTTGGTCAAATCAGACAATAATAAGATCAGACCAGATCAGATAAGATCAGACCAGATAAGTTCAGATAAGCAAAAATAAGGTGAACTAAATAGGACCTAAGGGTTATTTGCCTATAAGGCTAGTATCAAAAGCCAAGCCTTGTTTATTTCTTACTTAAATTGAGTTACTTTGGGTGCTTCATTTTTATAGCAATGGTGGTCATCATAAAAGAATTAGAATAAATTTAACAATATACTTGTAGACTTGTAATTGCTAACTTGCTACATATAATTGCCAAAAAGATTCAAGGCAACCATAATTTATTAATGTAATTTTTAATACTTTACAAATGAAATAACAAACTTAAATACACTTGCAAATCAAAATCAATCAAAAGAAATAAAAGAAAAAAAATAATTCCTATAACAATCTCACTCCAATCCAAAAAAATCAAGATAATCCCTCTATCAATTAGTAACCCTACAATTCTTTCTAATTTCACCCTCAAGGCCACTAAGAACTTCAATTGAACCCATATGAACCATAGCTTTACCAAACTTATTAGCCCAAACATTGCCTTGCCGACCGAAGTTCTTCACCACACTCACAATCCTAGGGTTAGTCATAAGAGTTTGATCAGAGGTGAATAATCCCCTTTTGTTTTGCAGATTTTGATAGTACTTGTTGTCCAATCTATTAGGTGTGATAAAGTCTTGAAAGACGGTATGATCAACATTGTTAGGAGAATTTTTAGGACACTTGGATTTCAACATACTAGCAAATCTAGGATCCATTGAAGGGTCTTGTAGGTTTGTAGCATTGAAGGTGTAAAGTCTTTTGGTGAAAGAAGAACAATGTGAGACTCCAATAGAGTGTGCCCCGGAAAGGGTGACCATTTCCTCTACAGAAAGGCCTTTTCGTTCAAAGCTTTTTTCAAGTTGTTGTAAGTTGAAAAAAGGTGCAGGTAGGTTTTGGTTTGGGTCATTTTTAAGTGAGACTCTCCCATCACGTCGACCTGATTGTACATCATAGTTAATCCCTCCTAGCTTGAAGGCGGTGTCACGTGCTGCAAAGGCTATGATATCTGCACAAGAGACCGTTTGTGGGCATCTAGCTTCAAGTTGTTTCTTTGCCTCGTCAATTACATCATAACCCTGCATACTTGGGTTGTTTGCTACGTTGTCTTTTTCAGCTGGGTTCCCCGGTGTTGAATCAAGTAAAATCGAAGCATCACAACCCTGAAAATTATGAGAAAATAGGTTAGGGTGTTTATATTCTTAAAAAAAAATAAAAAATAAAAAATAAAAGGATTAGGGTGTTTATATATTGTCCAAATAAGCAAGCTAGACATATAGAGTATGTCGGACTTTTAGGGTCGAAACTTGATAAACATTAAATCCTCAAACAAATAGGATTATTTGCTCATGCAAGTAGTTATCAATGACTTAAGTTTAAACATGAAAAGGTGTAATAAAGATTCCAATTGCTGTCATAATAATGAATGCAACAATTATGTTCAGGCAATACAAAAATATGATATACTTTCATGTTAATAATAATACGTACCCTAACAAAACAATCATGGAAATGCATCCTGATAAGCCCAGCTCCTAAGTTAGGATTTCTTGCAATCGCATTGTTAACTACATTCCTCACAATTGCCTCTGCCGAGGGACAAGTCCGTTGATAAAATCCCACCTTTAGGGACAACGACGAGGCAGAAGTATACATACATGCCATGGAAACAAAGAAGAGCATGCAAAGAACCAAACTCGTTGACATACTTACTCACAGAAGCAAAAAGATTCACTCAGGCTTACGATGATGTAGTTTCTAGCTAAGGAGTTTTCGTATACTACTCGATTTTCGTGTTTAAGATGTAGGAAGTAAGGATGAAGAGAAATGGAGTATGAGATGCAGTTTATATAGCTAGGTAAGCGTATGTGTGGTTACGGAGTTGTATAATAACTAATAAGTGCATGATGAAATTAAAACGTGCAGCCACCAAGCTAAGTAGCTTTATGCAGTCTTAGTTTGAAGCTTTGAATAGTTCCATACAATTTTACTACTGTCATAGCCACCAGCCACCAGCTTCGTGGTTTCTTCAGCTTCACAAATTGGAGTACTAAAGGTAATATTAATAATTCTTAATTAGTTTTAGACGCTCTATTAACATGTCAATGTATATTGACTACTTACCATGATTCCACGGCAAATTTGAACATGAGATGAAGTTAACTTGGTCATATGACTCATGTCTTAGAATAGCTACTTTTTATTAAATTTTTTTTAAAACAAAACTAGTGAATATCCCGAGTTACTACAGTTAATTTTTAATCTAGTGAAGAATAACTGACTTCATGAGGATTATATGAAAAATAATTGCATGATATTTGGGTTAAACAACCTTAAAAGTTTGAGAATGGAATAAAATATTGATTTCAAAAAAAAAAAAAGGTCATATATAGTATTCAATACATAACATCCTTTCACCATCATCTGTATTATGGTGGTTTGTTAAATTCTCTCAATAAATACTTTCAAGTTATCAAATTTTTATAATCTTTATGGAATCATAATTAAAGATATTGATGATCAAATTTACACATTAACAAGCCTAAATATCCAATAACTGTACCTGTAAAAATAATATTAATATTAAGTATATTATATCAAATTAATCATACATCGAATAGCATAAAACAAGCCACGCTCAGAACAGTGTTGATTGACTGAACTCGGAAACATATTGACAGTGATGAGGTCTTTAGGATGGTGTTGGTGGATCAATAGTCACCAGGCTGAACCGATAGTAGCTGTATCTCTTCCCAAGTATATTATCCCTCATACATATCGTTCCATATCACTATTTTTTGTTTATTTACCTTGTCACCATCAGTGGATAGACCAGATGTAGCAATTTCTTAACTCCTACAAAGCCTACAATAGATGGAGGAATGATAGGAATCTCAAATTCAGCCAAAGCCCTAGCACATCATCACAGTATCTTCCTGGCCAAACAAAGATGTGCAATTTCCAGCCCCCGCAATGTCAATGATTATATTGGTTCAGTGATCAAGAATGGTCTCCTAATGAGATATTGTAGGGTTTCATAAAAAAAAGATAATAGTAAAACTCATCTTACATTCTTACCCAAACTTTAACAAGGGTGTGAATAGTGAAGGCCACACATTACCAATACTAATGAAAGGGGAAAAAAATTATGGCCTCGCAGTTTAAGTTTCTTAGTACATACTCAGCATTGTGAAAATAAAATGACAAGGAGAGAGCCACATTCTACTGTACCTATATATCCTTCAATGAGAGCAATGACAATTGTTCTTCAACTGAGGAGTCAATGTGGCAAGAGATCCGACATGATGAAGGGATGAGAATAAGACCAAGACCACGTTGTTCCATAGGTGCTGGAGATGATCGTCTAACACTTCGAAACTCTACCGCATCTTGTAGAATTATGTTGCCTTGCTTATCCATACAGTGAAAGTTACCCATGAAAAAACGTCCATCATTCACACCCACCAGCATTCGACGAAACAGCAACTTTCTCACTGTGTCAATAGCACTTAGTTTGCTAGAATTAGAATGACATTCATCTGACAAACCCTCCTGAGACAGGGATGTTCCTGATTCTCGTTCAAGTTCCATATCCAATCACCAAGCTCTTGTCCCAAAGCAAGATCAGCCACTCTAGTGGAATTGGCAGACTTCAGGTATGTCCTTAACTTAACTTCCCTCCACTGCACAAAACAGGATTTCATTACAAATTTCAGAAGCTATACTGTCATTAAGAATATAAGATGCATGTGATTTTAAAGAAGAATACTGCAAAAACTTATATTACCACTCTATTTTTTGCAATTCAATATACGGGTTAAATTACTTTAATAAGGTCAAACAAGAAGCCAGTTTTATAAATTCATTATAATAAAAGAATTTCAAAAGCTTCATATGATGATATCATTTCAGATATCACTATCAATACCACAACTATCTTCCCCAGAGCAGGTATACTCTGTAGCAAGCATAATCTCTCATATCCGCTTTACCATAATATAAAAGTTTTATGTGATGCATCATTAACACCCCAGCCCTTATCACTAAACTCCAATAGAACTGAAAGCAGAGACTAGACACCAGTCACACCACTAGTGAGTATAGCGACAAATTCTGATACAGCAAGATTCTTACATGGTGAGATGCTTCATTACCTTCTTAGTCCTTTACTGCTAATGACTAATTATTTGAAGCGACTTAAAATTTCTTCAATTCTACTAAGACACCATAACAGTAGAAAACTGAGACAGGGTACCACTACTAACTAATCCTGAGACATCAAGTTTCTACAATCCTACCTGCTTTTACATGGTGTGATGCCTCATTAACTTCTTGATCCTTATAAAAAAAAAGGTCAAATTATAATTTAAAATGAAAAAAGTCAACTGCTAGTGACAATTTTCTTTAATACTGCTAAGACACCATTGGTTTTAGACTATTCGCTATCATTAGAGTAATTGTATTTCTAGTTTTAGATTTTACACATGCTAACAGACTGACAGTTAACCCCTTTAAACCCTTAATAATCTTGTTAGTTCTTGGGGTCAAGGTGTTCTTACAGCATTATGTAATGGTTGCGTTACATCTTATGCTATGAGTCTACGATCAACCCAGAACCAATTATTATGCCCTGCAGTACAAACCTCTCTTCAGAATGCTTGCACCAGTCATCACCGAGCTTGCTATTACAAGTACTAGTTTAGAACAAAAGAATCAAACAAACCACAACAAACCATACCTCTTCACTGGACAAACAAGAATAAGAAAGCATATATGAATCCCCTTGATGCTCGGAGCGTAAACACGAGTATCGATCAAATCCAGCTAAATTGTCAATTACACAAAGAACTAAACCTACATACAGCTTCCTAAGGTAATGCAGTTGACTAACACATGAACAATCATCAAATTCTCAAAAGACAATGTCATTTTCTCTTCATGTTCTTTCTTGAAAGTTTAATAGCTAGATATCCCGACAACAATTAACTCAAGGGCATAATAGAAATATAAGATTCAATCAATTTATCAATCAAACATATTTAACCCCTTTATAAAAAAAAAATCAGAAACTAATATGTTCCAATTAGCGAAAATCAATATGGTAAAAATAAGTAACAATCAGAATAAATAATGAAGAGTTCTTCTAATTAAATTCTTCTCGCTTAAGTATTTGATTAGCAAAATCGTAAAGCATCGTTATAATGTTTCAGTAATTAAATTATAAGCAATAGTTCAATAATCAATCCACCTTAGAAGAACCCTAAATTGCATTAAATTGACGATTAATCTTAGATTTTGAAATTGGTATTCGATAATTAAAAAAATAATAAAAAAACATCTTACCTCAGAAGCTGCTTCAATGAAGGAGGTAGATTCAACAACACAATCAACAGAAAACGTTCTTCTGTATTTTCTCTGCTTATTGCTCAAAACGAAGAACTTTGTATGTGTAGACAAACTTATTTTAAAATAGCGGCCCAAATTGAGTAAATGACTAAAAGTGTCCGCCTCATTTAATTAAAGAAAATGCTATACACAGCCTTTAAGACCACATGTAAACATTAAATACACACTAAAAAATCATATAAATTTAGGAAATTATAAAAATATAACACTAATTACACTGATTTACGCGTATTTTTGTCATGAATTCCTAATCAATCAATAACATAATACAAAAAGAGACACCACGAATGACACGTGTCACTTTTTTTCGCTCCAAAACTCCCCCTCCCTTTTTTTGCAAAGAATCTTTTATTTTTAGATTATTTTTATATTACAACTATAATAATATTATTCCAAATCTTATGTATTGTCTTTACATAAAATGTATTTATTTTTATTTCGTGTTCTTAATTCTTCCATACACATTTACCTAAAATATTATTCCAACTCTTTTTAAATTATAGAAAAAGTGAGTCACTGGTTCAGATACAAGATACAATCATTATCGCCTGGACATCTTTTAGATGGAGTATTATTGAATTTTGCCCAAAAAGTAATAATAAAATTGATTCATATAATTGATATTAAATAATTACTTTAAAACATTATTTTATTTTATTTTAAATATCTCTACTATTTTGTTTCTTAGACTAATGGAGTATTGGATATGATTACGAAATAAATGTTGTGTTCGACAGCTATATCATATGTCTAATTCTAGGAAAATATCAATTTGTTATTACGTAATTAAATAAATTAATATCTTAGTAAATACAAAAAAAATTATTCTCTTTTGCCGAAATATTTGATTGATATAATAAAATTATTACATTCGACATTATAAATAAGTTGCATAGTAAAAGATATGTCGGGCGTAGTGAAAAGTGACATCATTTTGTGTATCCTTTTTTTCGATAAATAGCTATCATCTACAAATAAACTTTTAAGACAATAAACAAACAATAATTATAGGATAGCTTCAAACACAATTTTATATAATAATAAAGGGTGACGATATCATGTAGAGCATTAACTTACAGAAAATGTACTATTAATTATATAGGTTAGTGTTGCCTAATTGTGGATTATTATTGCCTTTAATGGTTCGAGTAGTATTTATTTCTATTGAAATTATTTTATTGGATATAAAGGTAATATGTTATTTGTAATATATATATTTACATGTATGTTGTGCTAATAGTTTTACTGTAGATTTTATTCTGTTGTTTGATTAATATTTTCATGTTTATTTATGTGCATTTATAAATAAGCCTTTAGTCATAGTCACTAGATTGCTTGTATAGTTTTATTGGGAATAATATGCATTATCATTAATGTAATATAATGTATACTACTTTTAAATATTTACAATAACACAATTAATCAACAATAATTTTTTTTTCTCAATTGTAACTTTAATAATTTTTTCCTTATTATTATCTTTCTATATGCATTGCATTTGTTTATTCCTCATGAGTTGTCTTATTTTTATATTATATCACAATTAATTATGGAAAAAGATTATTACTTGTGTAAGAAAAAAAAAAATTATTACTATCGTGCATCGCACAGGATCTATTGGTTTTTCCTCCTTTCATCAAAAGCATTTCATAATCATTACCAGTTTCTATGTCATGTACGTCCACTTCAGTTGATCCACTCGAATCCATTTCTTGCTGTTGACTTTGACTTAACTTATCATGCAAATGATACACATAATCGTATTGTGGAAATGCAAACCTTTTACTTTCACCACCTTTGTACGTTGCATTAATCATAACAGGCATGATGAAATAATTTTTAATTGGAATATAAATCGAAGGCTTATTTTGTGTATTATGCTCTAATTCATAAGAATTAAACTGTATTTGTAGGAGAACATGCATGCATCTTAAGATCTACTTATATATTAAAAGTTTCCCATGCTTGATCAAATTATTTTAGTTAAGGTTTTGATTACAATCTACGAAGTATATCATCTTTTGGTATTAAATCATTGAATACAGCTATTTACATAATTACATGAGAAGACCTTGAGGTATATAAAGATGAATCTGGTTATATGATGATCATGTATTCTAATTTCCCATTAACTTGTAATTTCTGATATAGAATGTGCATAGAATATTCTCTTCGTATATTTAGAATATATTTTGTATAAGAATATTATTGTCATATCTTAGATATCTTTACATATCATACACTTCGTATATATGGTAGTTACCTAAGCTAATATACTATTTAGGATTCTCATTGTTACCTTATTAATATTGATCAATATTACCATTATTTTGGTTACATTATTATTTGGTTTTTTTTTTAGGTTCTATTTCTATGTCAAACTTGTAACGAGCTTGCTCTAAGCGTACCATTTTCATGTTAGCCCGGCCCACACATAACTCTATGTTATTACAAAGCTACCCGTTTATTGTTAACATACCAAGCCCCACCCAGCCATCGTCACAGAGTGAAGCATCGCAGTTCAGCTTGTAGGTTCCTTGGGGAGGGGCAATCCACTTCTTCGAGCTTCTGCAGCCTTTGTTCTTCACCATCCCATAGATTTTGCTCGAGTAAGTAGTGCAGTCAGCAGTTAGGCGGAAAACACGCTCAGTAATTATGGGATGGAGGGATGACACCCTTCGATCTTAATATACTTAATAATTTGTGGTAAACTTTTTTTTAAGAAATCTAGATGGTCTCAAATTTGTAACTTTTACAACTTATAAATACAAAAACCAAAAGTACTTGTTTAGCAAATTTAGTACATATATTTATAATTGTTTTTTGTATTCGTTTTTTTTTTTTTTTTTTTTATTTGGATTAAATTGGTGTATAATTTGAGCTATAGTGGTATATTTTAGTTGCGAGATACCCTACAAGTTCCGATTCTAAAAAATTTAGAACCTAAACCCCGAATTAGAACCTCACTTTTACTACCTGAAACCGTCTAGGTTCTGATTCTTAATAGATTTGGTTTAGAGTACCCAATTTTTTTGCACATCCCTAACAATAATACATACTAATTTTTATTAAATTTCGTATATTTAAATTGATGATGCACTTGATACACGATATCGAATAATTTAATACGCAATTAACTTATATAAATTGTGTCACCACTTTTTAATTACTCATCTTTTAATAACCGAACTCTCAATTTTATTCTGAAAGAAACCAAACTCTTATTAAATATCTTTTGCATGCATGAAAATACATAATAGTGAAATAACTTGTACACTCCGTAGTTTTCAATAATTTTCTTCAGTTCCATATAAAAATAGCTTCATATTTACTTAAAAAAATTAATACTTTTAATAGTTTTCTTCAGTTCCATACAAAAAGTAGCTTCATATTTACTTAAAAAATTAATACTTTTACTTCAAAATGTAGTAAAAAATAAAAAATAAATAAAAAATTCATCTACATAATTCACATAATTGGAACCTATGTACCTCACATTAATTCTTCCTCATATATAAAGATTTAATTTAAAAATTTCCATATCAATGCAGGTTAATTGTATCTAGTATAATAATACGTAAAAGTTAGGATAAAACTTAGCTTTTGTCATGGGCGGACCTATAAAGTCCGCATAGAGAGTATTTGCATCCCCATTTTAAAAAAAGTAGATCAAGTTCATAAGCCCATGTGAATAAAAAAAATAAAAAACCGTAAAACTCTTATTATTATATGGTATTATAAGATAAAAGCCCAAATATTTCTAGAAACCCATAGCACCTAGCTTCTCTGTTCACATGAAGATAATTATTAATTTTTTTTTTTTTGGATTGAAATTCTTGGTTATCACGTGAGGTGGGGGAACAATTAAGTAGTCAGTGGAAATAAAATAATTCTTTCATTTTCACAAAACTCCTTATTCTAATTTTCTCCCCTCAACTCAAGACAAAACCGGCCTATTGTGTTTTAGGATTCTGCCCGCCGATTTTGCTGTCGCCAGCCGGTGCCTCAGCTCTTTGCTACCGATAAAGGTGTTCGGCCTACTTCGGTGATGATGAGAACAATTGTAATTTTTTTATTTTAGTTTGTTTTCCCTTATAATTGTATGTGGTTTTCATTTATGAAAACGATTAGTAATTTTCAGTGATGTATCTTTTGATATTTATTATTTTGTACGGTGGTATGATCGTTGAAAGTTTATTTTAGACCCCCATTTATAAATTTCTGGATCCACCAATGACTTTTGTCATATATATACGTTAATTACATTCAGTCAAAATGTAATAGGGAGTACTTATAAAAAACATGGAGGGGGTTTAAAATTACGAGTATCATATAAAAAAAGGGAAAATAAAGCAAGGAGTGATTGCATTTAAAACTATATGTGGAGGCAGGGAGTATAAAACACTACTTTGCGGGGAAAAAATTTCTAGCATTGGCCAAAGGGCGGCAATTGCCCGTAAAAGAGGCAACAAATAAAAGATACTCTAACTAGGTTACGAGAATACATATAAGCCCTTGTATAGTAGCATAGTCCAACACATGAAGGAAATTAGACCATCATTATTTTTCAATTGTTTAATTTATAAATTGAAATGTGGAATGATACTTAATTAACCAATCATAATTTTAATCTATGCCTATCCTTAATCATAACAGTTATCATTGCTGATCAATGATTATAAAATTGATTATAAAGGTTGTTTAGCAATCCACCCATCTTGGTTGATAAATGCTTGTGTATCATATTGCTTAATTGTAGAATAATCCAACTTTTTTATCCATGGAACACGTTTTGAAGTATCAGAACCAGGACCTGTGCAGTTAACTTCTGCAAATGTCACATCAGATCTGCATTTACCATAACATAATATCAGTTTTTGATTATGATTAAGCCAATAAGTACTCTCTAGTTGGTTCAACTCCAAAAACTCAAATAATAATAACATAGAGCCGATTTAGTATGACTCGGCTTAATTCAACCCATGTTTAGGTTGCTCTACTCGAATTTAAGCATATGTACGAGTGCTTTTAAAGTTTTAATCAAAAGACATATCTGTTGAAAAAAGTGATTTGAAGAGAGTGAGGGATAGCTCAAGTGGTTAGAGCTCCCCTCCTGGTTTCAAGAGATCTTAGAATCGATTCTCATCACCTGTCTTTATGACTCTCTAAACACAACCACACAAAAAAAAAAAAAAAAAAAAAAAAAAAAAAGTGATTTTAAAAAACTTACTCATGACCATTTTGATGCCAAATGAACCATCCCTCAGGATTAACAGCTTCACTGAATATTGAGTCAATGAAAATAACTCTTGCAAAAGCATCATATGCTCGTCCTAAGTCTGCATGCCCTGTTCCCGAAACATGACATTTTCTAAATACAAAACCGCTGGTATCATTGGCTGACGATCGACTTTGTGCAGTAATGTATCCTCCTCCCATGACATTTATGCTACAATGCTGCAACATTCGTAAAGGGTTACTCCGAAGCATATGTAGATAATAATGCTAAAATTTGCGACTTTATAGTCATGAGGTGATTTCCACACTAACTTTACCATAAATGTTTGGTTAAGTACGCACACACACATATAGACACAACCGCTTAATACAATCTATCCCGATTTGTATTTTTTAAATGCACCACTTTAATTGACACAATTTCCTGGGCATAACTTTGCCCACAAAATTTGTAATTGTGTATTAATAATAATTTTAAAAAATTGATATTATGAAATTTTACTTCATGACTAATCAAACAACATATTGCATAATAGCATGTAAGTTTTATATATAAATGAAAATTCATATCAAAATTAGCATAAAAATACTATGTGTATTTATGATTTATCTTGTACACAGATTGACCGTTTCCAAATATAAAATCAACGGCACCTTCAATGTAACATGACTCGAAATAATGACGACCTTAGTAGTCCCATAGTGTATCTTGATATCCCACGAAACCACAAGAATAAAATGCATGCTTGTCGCCATAAGATCTGAGGGCAACAGCTTGAGCTCGCTTCGTATCATCTAGTGCTTCAATACTATAAGAGTTCTATAAGAACAAAAGGTACATTTGAGAATTATTAGTTAATCTATTGATGCATAACTCTACAATTAGAACAATGAAATTAAATAAGCATATAACAAAAATATAGTGATTAAATAAAAAGCAATTTTTTTTTTTTAATAGTAAGAAGTACCAAATAACAAACAATAGAATCCGTAGCAATATACAAAGTATTTCTTTTTATATATTTATTATATAGAATATGTAGTGGTGTCCACATAAAATATCTACGTATCATATATTACTTTATATATATATATATATATATATATATATATATATATATATATATATATTTGGTCGATTAGATCCCTGTATACAAGCCGTACCCGGCTGACTTACTTTCCTCTGCTCTTACTCCCGCACCCGTTCCTGTACACATACACATGTCAGCGTAGGTAGCTGTGTCACGCTAAGTAACTAATATAAAGCACACACCGGGAGCATATAGATCAAATGTCTTAACACTAGAATGTACTCATGATGTTAGATTTTGAGAATGTCATTTTACCCTTAATACAAATTAATATATAGGTCATAAAAATTAGGGAGTAAGTAAATTAATTATCCGTCCTCAAAAACAAAATATATAGGAGACTTGATTGTTGAGGACTCACCAAACCTACAAGAACTAGACCTCAAAAAATGGGAGATTTGATTATTGAAATACCCATAAAACATTAATACTAGGAAATAATACTCTGAAACAATTAAACCGTTATACGGCATAATAGGTATAAAAAGAAAATAAAAAGAGGAGTTACCTTAAAGGTGACATTCCTAGCTACAAAATTGTCAATGTCCACAGCAAAAGTAGTGCTACTTGACGTTGAAAAATGATTGTCAAAGGTTATAATTGTTGTAGTACGATCACTTCCTTGAAGAATTATGCAACCTCCTTTATCCTGCTGTATTGCAATCTGCTCCCTACATGCTTACAAATAACATCATTATTAATCGATCTACATATGCCCATGTTAAATACTACCTCCGTTAATTATTATGTGCAACAAAGGGGTATTATTTGTAAGACATAAAATATTCCTTTGTTGCACATAATAACTAACGGAGGTAGTATTCAAAAATGAGCATAAGTAAAAAAAATAAAACATTGAGACATACAGATTGTGTTATAACAATTTCAAGGCTTACTTGTAAGTTCCGGGATTAACCAATATATTCACTGATTATTGCCAGACGGAATGGAATTAAGGGCATCTGTAATGGTGGTGAAATTCGCACCACCTGATTGTGAAACAGTGATAGTATAAGCTATTGTAGATGCATTTTGGCATTCTGTAGCTCCGGAAAACAACAAACAAACATTCTGAAAACTTAAACACAATGCAATTAATAGCAATACAAGTTTCATACTTGAAGGAAGAGGGGTGAATCAAACAAGCAAGCAAAAGGTGTTAACTAAC